TGAACGACTGAAAAAAAAGTCGAAATATAATTGATCGAAAATGTCCATCCCGACAAATTTATCAAGGAACACATGACAAGGAAAGCAGAAAAGGACTACTCACTGTCTGTAAACAAGAAGTCTTTATGTATACGACTACAATTCATGGGCGATATACCAAGCGAGATAACTACGAAGAAATTAGGAAAATCAGTTCAAAGAACTTCTAATGCTGGCGAACTACACGTATTATTCTCTACACGACCGATGGTGCTACCTCGACTGAAAGATGAAGTACCTAGACTGGCTGGCCACTTCAAATTGTATCTATCAATTCAACTGCGCTTGTGGTGGAGCGAGTTATATCGGCCGTTGCTCTAAGAACTGGATTTTTCGTGCACTCTCGAGATCATATCCCACTATGGCTAAGTAAAGGTGTAGTGAAAATTATTAACAGCTTGATATTGGACCATCTGTTGCAAACCGGTCACAAAGCCAGCCAGCGTAGAAGAATCCTTCTCTATAATATACCGGGTGCCTAACAAACTGCCAAAATCGTCGAAGCACCGCATGCTCCAGACAGCAGAGGTTATTGCAATTCGCCTCAAACAACCAGTGCTGTGTGTTCAAAAGAAGCAAGTCCAGCCAGCCCCGACTACTGCCCTGGCCGGCCTTCAGTAGAGACTATAAATTCATGAATTTGTAATATTATCTTTCCTAATTCTTCTGACATTTAGCTTATTTTATGTTGATGCTGTTCAGCTGTAATCTATCAATATTATTGATTTGATGTTATTTAAACAACACTAATGTCGTTCATAACACTAATTCATTCATTCACTATAATGTATATATATAACTGTCGAGCCTGATGATGAATTTATCGAAAAGAGTACTCTATGTTCATTATCCATTCTTTTGAAATATAATTAGTAATTTCAGTCTTAACGCTTAGAAAATGGTAAGAATTCACATGTTTCCAAGTAGGTTGAAAGCTGATACGGTCTCTTAACCTTCACGGTGATGGACTTAATGTATGTTTATGTATGCCTGCCTCACCAGCATAAACTCTAGACTTCCAACAAGCAGTGTATCTTGACTTCGAAACCCATTCTCCAACTAGCTGACTGCTTGAATACGAGGATAGTATTACAAACTTTCAAACGAATAAATGTAGCAGATAGGTATGTGGCGTGATGCAGATTGATAGGAAGCAGCCAAACATTAAAATCAACATTTTTAAGTCAATGGATGCGGAGGTAGAAGTGTTTATTCCTCAAATTTGGACGCTGTTCACATTGTGGATATGAAATGTCTTTGATCATAGGTGTCTGCGTTCTATCTCCCGTGTGAGGCGGCATAATAAGGTAAGCAATATTGAGATTAGGCGTCGAGTGCTAGGTAAGGTGGGGAAATCATTCGACGAGACTGTAAAATTACATCGACTGAGATGGTTAGGACATGCGTTACGTATGCCTAGCCTAGTCATCGCCTTCCTCGACAATGAGCAATGTTAGCTGATATAGGGTCAGGCTGGAAAAGAGCTAGCGACGGTCAAACCAAAACATGGCTTCACCAGTCAATGAAATCTACAACAGTTAGTCTAAGCCAGCCACGTAGGAAGGTGTAGACTGGCTTCCTGACTAGTTGGTTGGGGTCCTCGGGACGGTAAAAACCAGTGGCTGGAAATAATTGGTGACATGGCTCAAAATCGTTCTCAGTGGCTAGCGTAGATGCATCCACTCCTTGTGACTTAAGATTTCAAATGAAACTGTTTTGTTCTTCGTTATTACTACTCCTATGTCTCATACCTCTGTTTACTGTCTCTAATATGCATTTCTCTTACTTTCTTCTCTTGCTATGTGTGCTACAAGGAGGGAGTGTGGCGACTTGAACAGCCGCACATATGTGCAAAGTTCTATGTCGAAAACAGACAGATAGACAGATGGATATGAAACAAGTTCATTGGACTATTCGTTTAACCTTGAGCCAAACGCCAACCAATCAGAACAATTTGTTCTCCTCTGATCTAGCCAAACTTTAATGTGGCCAAGATTGTGTAAATATGATGTGTTCTTCCTCAATAAGAGTCCATCCTCACACATTACAAAAATATATTCTAGCGCAATAAATGTGTACCTAGTTGTTAAATCAAAATCATTAATTATCAGTATATGATTTTATTTCCGCTGAGATTCACAAATGAACATTTTTATGTTACCATCAAAATTTAGGAAAGAAAAATATCTAGTCGATTAACTTTCATCTGTTATTCAAAGTTATGTCTGAGTCATCATCATCATCAGTCCCTTGACTTTCGTCGTGGGGGTGCTATGACAGTTCGCGCTATCAGTCTTCGCCATTCTTCTCGGTTTAATGCTATTTTCTGTAGCGTATCCAAGGGCATTTCAGTCCACTCTTTTATGTTGTCAAGCCAGCTCTTATTCGGTCGACCTCTCTTTCGTGCTCCTCCTACTGTGCCTTGTAGAATCGTTTTGGACAATGTGTCATGTCTTACCGTGTGGCCGAACCATTGTAGTTTCCGTTTCTTTACGATTGAAAGGAGTGGTTCCTGTTTTCCTGCCAGTCTATGGACCTGGTGTAAGACATATTCATTAGTTTTCCTTTCAAGGTAACTTATTCCTAGGATCCTTCTATAGCTTTTGTTTTCGAAGGCTTGTATTCTTCTTTCTGTCTCTGCATTCAGGGTCCAGCTCTCACATCCATATAGGAATACAGAGAGGACCAGTGACGAGTAGAGTTTCATTTTTGCTGAGACGCTGATGTTGCTCTTCCATATTTTCCCTAACTTGGACATGGTGGCAGAGGCTAGGTTTAGTCGAATTTTTATTTCCTTAGTGGACCTTCCATCTTTTGTTAGGGTAGACCCAAGGTATTTGAAAGTTTCAACCTCTTCTAATACATGTCCATCAAGTCTGATACATCTATCTGAGTTGTTTCTTCCGTTAATGAGTATTTTGCTTTTTTCTGTGCTGATTTCCATGCCCACAGATTTGGTTGCAACATCCTGAACTTGATCAATGTTTTCCCCAATGAGGGCTATATCATCAGTATGTCTGAGTATTGGGTGATAAATGATGATTTGCAGAGTATTTATTTCCACGCCAGAATTGTGTAATACTGAGTATTAACTACACAAATTAATATGCTTACTTTTATGTTTAGATTACTTGTTGCGTTTTATGAATCCGGAGTGTGTTTTACAGTGATGAACTGCTAACCACTAATCAGGTTTTAACCACCACTGAATGGGTCAAACAAGAGTCCTCAATACCACTGTAAACTGAACAAACTTACTCACTTAAGGAATTCAAGAATATAACACCGGATACCTCCAGAATAAATTCACATCTGAAGTCTACCAAATTAGTACACTACATATGTATATCCTTGCATTCAAAAAAAGTATGTTCAAATATATGGCGCGTGCTACACAGATTCAGACTAAATGGATACGGCCAAAAATTGAAATCAACATTTTAAGCCAATCACTGTAGAAGGAGAAGTGTTTTTATTTCTCAAATCTGGATTTAATTTACGTTGTGGTCAGGAAACAATTTCAGTAGACAACTCTTAATCTCATTGTTTAACCTTAGGTCAATAGCCAATCAGAATCCTAACCGACTTGTAATGTAGTTTAAAATGTATAAATAGGACGCATTTTTCCTTAATGAAAAAGTCCATGACCAATTTTATTTTCTTCTACCGTTACAGTAGGACTTGAAATATACACAGTTTGTATAAATATTTTACAATAATAGTTGTATTGTTACTGTGTACTGATGGGAATGTTGATCGCCCAGCTACAGATTCATATAGACGATTCAACTCTAGAGGCAAGTAGTGACATAAGGTGCAACAAATGACCCACTGAATTTATTATTATTATTGTTCCCTTGGGTTCCTAATGGAACATAGGGCTTCAACTGCACGTCTCCACTTGCCAATCTCTTCTGCTGTACTTTTCATCTGCATCCATGTTAGTCCATACTGTCTCAACTCCTCTTCACACAACCTCCTCCATGTCACCCCTGCACTGACGTCCCACTCGCCGATTCCCTTTCGGGTTCCACTCGGGCGTTGGCCTGACGCGCGATGTCACCCAGCGAGTGGCCTCCTCAGCCAGTGAGTGTCCAATCCATCTCCACTTTCTCCTGCATATTTGTTGGGCGATTGGTTCTTGTTTTGTTTGTTTGTTTCTTCCCATAGCTTGTTTCTTGTTGGTTCTTGTTCTTTCCGGCGGCCATCTGATCTTCAGTATAGAGCCAGCGAAGACAGTTAGTTAGATTTTGATAAAGGTGTGCAACAGGCTATTGGAAATATTCTTTGTGGCCCGCCAAATTTCTGCTCACCCACTGAATTTGCCGATATTTAATACTGGTCCGAATTTCAGAGGATCTAGTCTAATGACAGTCTCCAACAAGTTAACAGAAATATTTTTTTTTATAGGAGACAGAAGCCCACAGTATTTATATATCATAACACAAAAATGAAAAGTCAGATAGAAGAAGAGATACTGGTCGACGACATTAACCGGGAATGGCGTTATAAACCGAAAATCAAAAGTTGGAATTCATGGATCATTGGATTTCGTTGCACTAATTGAATGGTCAGCGGGATCAACCTGTAACCTGGAGGGCCTGCATTTGATCTGTGGCGGAGTTATAGCTGCATGCTGCTGAAAAGTCAGTTCTCGAATAGGAAAAAAAACAGTCTTCCAGTATTCTCTGATTTTCAAGGGGTGTCATTTCGTGATCTAAATTGAAATCGATCAAGTCCTTGGGAACTTTCACTTGAAAACATATTAATGAACTGATTTCAAGGTAAGGTCTCAAATAATCTGACAAGTGACGAATATGTCTAGTAATTTTCAAGAGCTACATAAATGACATAAAAGTGGGATTAAAATTTATAACAATAAGTCTAATGATTATTCTGGAAAAAATTAAATAGCCTTATGCAATATAGTATAACTGGTAGAATGAGTATTCTCAACTTACATTATCCCAAATATTGTATTCAATAATAATCCATCAGTTAATTGTTCTGGTGATAATTCCTTAGTTGATGAGGTGAATAATTGTGCCCAAAGAAGTAAATCCGCCTTCATTATTATTACAACACAAGGGAATGAATGTTATCAAAATGGTTAGAAATTAATTCCTTTATTAGAATAATTTTTGTATGATCTGTAATGGAAAAAAATAATAATAAATAAAGTTTAGAAAAATTGTAAAATAAACAACAACAACAAAAATAGTGTAATTGAGAAACGAGTGAGTAAATCGAATCGAGCGAGCAATGAAGCACACATTTGTACACAAGTTTGTGGGCAAATATATAAAGTCTCAGAATAATATATATACTGCTCAAGTATTAGTTTGTGCGTCGGTGGCATAGCGGTTAGGACGCTCGCCGACCATGCACATGGTCCGGGGTTCGATCCCCGGCCACCGACGCACTCCTTTACCCCGCTAAGCCAGAAATAAAAAAAGCTGGTAAAGAGGAAAGGTTGGGCATGAGGCTAGCAACCCCATCCTGTAAAAATTAAACACTGCTACAGAAACTTCAAGCCACTAGCTTGAGGCCCTATATTCCACTGGGGACGTGAAGGAAAAAAAAGTATCAGTAAGCGTTTAAATGTTCAGCGCCGGATGTCTAAGCCTGCGCATCTTATTTTTATGTTAAACAAAGAGGGATTTGAAAAGGTGTGTTTTAAAAGAGTAAGTCTTTCACAAACAAATATTGGTCAGGAGAACAATTAAAAACACCAAAAAGCACAAAAAGGTATTTCTGATATTTTTTAGGGGAATTCTCTGTAGTCGTAGTAGTAGTAGCGAGAAATTGTGACCATTACACTGTTAACTTACAAGAAGAGCACATTATCATCCAATCACTGAGTAGGAATCCAACAGCCCATGATTTCCAGCGCCTATCAATCCTAGGTACGCCATCACCACCACCACCAACTGATGTAGGCGTTTCACTACATCCAATTGTGATATTCAGCCTTTTTTCAACGTGGAGGGTTTTTAAAATTTATAATCTTACAGTTCATTATTATTATTGTTTCCTTTAATTCCTAGAGGAACATAGGGCTTCAGCCATGCGTCTCCATTGCGTTCGGTTCTCTCCTACAGTCTTCACCTGGCTCCAAGTCTGCCCACACGCCTTCATCTCCTCTTCACATCACCTCCTCCAAGTCACTCACCCTCGTACTGACCACCAACTCGCCGCTTCCAATACAGTCGGGTTACACTCAAGCCACGGCCTGTCGTGTGATGTCACTTGATGGTTTGTTTCCTCAGAGTATGGCCAGCCAATCCATCTACCTCCATTTCTTCCTGCCTGCCTATTTGTTTCACAATCGGTTCCTGCTGGGTCGGTTGGTTCGCTCATTGCCAGAGATCCCTCTCTGTTGCTGATCTTTTCTGGCCGGCCATCTGATCTTGAGTAGTATTGAGCGAAGATAACTGTTGATGAAGGTGTGTAGTTTGTTTGAGATGCTGTTTATTACGCACTGGCCAAGTCCCTGATCCATTCGTATAGTGAGTATCACTGACTGACTTCACATTGGAGTTGAAAATCCGGATCTTATTTTCATTTTGATGCTGAGAGTTGTTGACCTCCTGCACACAGAGAGTAGTGCAAGCCTGTCTTGCTTTTCCAATCCTCGCTGTTTTGATATCCTCGTCAGTTTCGTGCGCCTGTAATTGAAACGATACTTCCCAGGTCGTTTGGTGAAGGAGGTTGTTTCTTTCAGGTTCCTTCTATTTATGCTGGCTGATTGTTGTCTGTTGTTGTTGTTGGTGGTGGAGGTGGTGTTGGCCATGAATCTTCATCACCCACCTCTGTTTTCTCTATGTTCGCCTGAAGTGGTGTCCTATCTTCTCTGGATGCTTCTTCTGCCAACTTGTTGCTTTTCGCTTGCATATCTTCCAGTTTGTGGGAAATCAGACATATATCATAATCGGCGAAGTCCAGATCCTCCAAGTCTCTTTTTGTGTGAGTCCATTTTATACCAGTTCATGTGATACTGTAATAAATCAACTTTGAGAATTCTTGATGAGAACTTCTCTATCCCTAAACAACAACTTATTATTATTGTGCATTGCTCGAATATCAAAATCAAATTATATTTATCAAACCAGCTGGATCCAGGAAACACACTTAATTCCATTCAGGACTTCTCCGTCGGATCCAACTCCTTCCGAGTGACTGACGACTGGTTAGTAGCCTAATGGAAAACGCCTCAGAGTTTGGATGGGGTCCTAAGCTTGAGTCTCAGTGGGAACACCATCAACGACTGTAAATCAGGTACATCCCACTGAAGAGTTCCCAAAAAGTCGAAACATTCGCCCTGAATTCCTCTGTTAACCACCAGCAACAAACAAATGACTTCGATTCAGTAATTATGGTAATATCGAGGATTGGATACATCAAGAAGAGACCGATCAATTCGGTTGCATATACCAGGTAAGCATGAATGTATAAAAAAAAAGTAGTTTCTTATTAAAAACTACTTAGCGTCACAATTAATAAAAAATTAAATCATGTAAATTTTGATCGATACAGGTCCTAGACTAGACTAGAGTTCAGGTCAAATTATTCTCAAAGTGGTAGTTATCTGCAATTATGAGAATTGTACTCATCTATTATTATTAATCCTTAGTATAATGTAGTCCACAACGGAAAACTCAGTGAGGCCTTTTGAAGTAAACACAGGAGTCAAACAAGGGTGCTTATTATCACCAATGATACTCCTAATTGTGGCGGACTGGACTCGATTGTGCGTCAAACAGTGGGAAACGAGAAGACAGGGATATCCTGAACTGACGTGAAGAATCTAGAAGACCTGGATTTCGCGCCTGCATGATTTATGTTTGATGTCACACAAAATCGAAGACCCACAAGCGGAAACCGACAAACTGGTCGAAGAAGCAGCCAGAGAAGACAGGACTGACTTCAGGTGAACATAGACAAGACGGAGGTGATGAAAATAACCAACCAACCAACAACAAAAACAGTAGCAACATCCACCACCAATTACCATCAACAGGAGGGATTTGAAAGAGGTTCCTTCATTCATTTATCTAGGCAGCATTGTCTCAACTGCAGGAGGTAAAAGAACGGACGAGGATGTCAAATGGAGAATCGGGAAGGCGAGAAACACATTCACCATCAAGCTGGAAATCTTCCACTGTCACTCAACCCAGCATCAACAACAAAATTCGGATTTTCAATACAAACGTCAGTCAAGTCAGTCAGTTCTTCTATACGGATGGATCAGAAAGTTAGCGGCGGGTCACAAACAATGAGTATTTCCAACAGCCTGTTGCACACCTTTATCAACAACTAACTAACTGTCTTCGCTGGCTCTATACTAAAAATCAGATGGCCGGAAAGAATCACCAACAAGAAACTATGGGAACGAACAACACAAGAACCAATCGCCCAACAAATATGGAGGAGAGAGTGGAGATGGATTGGATACTCACTGGCTCGCTGAGGAGGCCACTCGCTGGGTGACATCGTGCGTCAGGCCAACGCTCGAGTGGAACCCGAAAGGGAAGCGGTGGCGAGTGGGACGTGAGTGCAAGGGTGACATGGAGGAGACCGTGTGAAGAGGATTTGAAACAGTGTGAACTAACATGGACACAGGTGAAAATTACAGCAGAAGACAGAAGCAAGTGGAGACGTGCAGTTGAAGCCCTATGTTCCACTAGGAACCCAAGGAAACAATAATAATAATAATAATAATAATAGTATTCTGTTGCTAATGCATTGTTGAACTGTGGGAATAGTATTCAGACGTTAATACTAACAAATACAATGATTCTTATACTGTGAGAATAATATTCCGCTGGAATCCATTGTCTGTATTCCACCACCACAATACTACTATACTTAGAAGTTGAGTTTGAGATGAGTTTGTAAATAAAATTAAAGATGTTTTTTTAATTGTTCAGTTGTTTCTTTTTTTTTTAATTTCCAATTACATAAACAACAGAATTGTAGAAAAAGAAAACCATCAATGTGAACTAATTTTTAAAAGAGGGAATTATACGTTTTAAAAGAAAACGATTGTAGCAAATAAGAAGAGCTTTTTTGTGACAAATGTATCAATCAAGGTCATGGAATACTTTTGACCTTATCACAAATAATTGACATTAATCGAACACCTTATTAATCAGAGTATTAATAATCATAATAAAAATAATAATAATACTAAGGTGGGTGCTGAGATAGACGGACAGATGGATCGTGAGATAGACAGACGGACAGACAGTTAAAATTTTTAATAAAGTAGTTTTGATGATTAAGTATTTATTATAAGGTGAAGTATTAGAATCAAAGGTCTTTTATGTGTAAAATGAACTCACATCAATACTTTATTGTATTGATATATTATTTGAAAAAGAAAAAACAGCGAAATTTAGTAAAAATTTGATCATCCGTTAAATTGATGAAATAATCTCATCAAATGAAAGCAAATTGTTACATAAGAAACATGCAACTGAGGTGTGGTATTATTAAGACGTTAATAATTAATTGAAGGAAAGTGTAAGAGACAATAGTGATCGTATAGAACAAGATGTATTGAAACGTGTTCACACTATACTATGTGAGTTTTTATGTGTGAAGAAAACTAGACAGCACATTATACTATGGCCTATACAAAAAGCCAAACAATGTACCAATGTTCGTAAGTGATTCGATAGTAGAATGCTAGCCGACCACTTACGTGGACGGGGGGTTCGATTCCCGGCCAATGCACTCCTAAACCTCGACTAGCTGGTAGTAGGAACCTCGTGAGATGGTTAGGACAGAGATGGTTAGGGCATGTTTTACGTATGCCTAGCCTGGCAATCGCCTTCCTCGACATTGGGAAATGTTAGCTGATATAGGGTCAGGTTGGAAAAGAGCTAGCGGCGGTCAGACCAAAACATGGCACCACTCAATGAAATCTACAACAGTCAGTTTAAGCCAGCCACGTAGGAAGGTGTAGATTGGCTTCCTGACTAGTTGGGGTTGTCGGGACGGTAAAAACCAATGGTTGGAAACAATTGGTGACATGGCTAGTTCAAAATCGTTCTCAATGGTTTTCGCAGATGCATCCACTACTTGTGACTTATGATTTCCAATGAAACTGTTTTGTTCTTCGTTATTATTATACCTT